GAGGAAGAAGAGGAGGAGGCAGCAGGGGGGCAGGAAAGAACATAGCTCTGGCCTCCCATGGGTTGGGAGTTGAAGTTTATGTTACCTTCACAGTCTGGGGAACCCTGCAATGAGAAATTTATTTAACATCGTTTCGGGTTGGTAGTGCCCTGTTATGGGTTGAAAAAGATAGTTGAAAAAGACTCGTTGAAGCCCTAACAGCCAGGATCTCCGAATGTGACCTTATTTGGAGATAATGTCTTTACAGACGTAATCAAGTTAAGATGAGGTCATAACGGGAACATTTAGACACAGACAGACACGCACACAGGGAAGATGACGTGCAGACAGACACAGGTAGAACACGGCCAACTACAAACCAAGGAAGGCCTGAGGCTGCCGGAAGTTGAAACACATCCCTCCCTAGTGCCCTGAGGGGGCTCGTGGTCCTGCCCATACTTTGATTTCAGACTTTGAGCCTCTAGAACCGTGAAACAATAAATTTCTGTTGTTCCAAGTCACCCAGTGTGTGGTATCTTGTTAGGACAAAAATCTGATGGACGTCAGAACAAAACCTCTCTGGAGTATTCCCAAGACTTAAATCAATCAAACGTGAGCTCACAATTAAGAATTACCAATGACACAAGGAAATGAGCCACCATGAGTGAGAGTCAGAAGATACATCATCTGGCGGGACAGTAGAGGCTGGATTGGAGGTGGGGAGGCAAAGAGACGGTGTTCAACCCCCCCAGACTTCCCTTTGCCTTTGTCCCCCATTCCCTCTGTCACCCCACCTGTATCCCTTACAGTTGCCTTTAATTTCTTTTTACCTTTTCTTTCCTTCAACATCTACATCTGGGAGAGACTGATAGACCCATTCTCAGTGAAGCACAAGGGACAAGGGCGATGGATAAGATTGTTGTCCCTCCCAGGGGCATTTGCATTTCAGCATGAAAAGAACAAATCACAAGTCAAAGAAATTACTCTCTAACTTGGAAATCCCAAGAATCAAGGACCAGAAGGAGAAGGTTTGAGGGGAACAAGTGACCTCAGCTGTGCACTTCTCTGGCGGTTCCTGGTCCCTCAGGACTCCTGGCTCCTGCTCCAGGACTCACTTCACCAGGCAATTTGCTTACCGTCATGATGGCGCAAACCGGCCCCAAGAAACTCCAGATGAACCCCATCTTCGTATCCAGCCAGCAGCTACAGAGAGAAATAGAAGGAGTCAGCGCTGGTCTCGGAGTCCTGACCCTACAGTTATTCACGCCCCAACAACGGCACGAACGGAGGAGAATTTTGGGAGGTGACATTCAGTTCGTTCTCTTGATGGTTCACGTCGCATTTTGATTTCCTTTGGAACATAGCTCTTCGTCTTTCAGACTTTCCCTGGGAAAACATTCCTGAAATGTTCACCCGGGGCCAAGCTTGAGTTCATCCTCAATTCATAACCTTTGTGATATCTTTTCCCACCCCCCATGCAAAACTCCCTGCTGGTACACCTTGTCATTTGAATCTCACCTCCTCTGAGAAGCCACTCTTGACTACCCTTAGCTAAAGTATCCTATGCCTACCCCTGGCCACTCTCTAGCAGAACTCACTGCCTTCTTTTCAAATGGCAGCTACCACTCTCATAAGTATCATCTCATGCAATTGTTTGTGTACTTGCAGCCTGGCTTCCCTACTAGACCAGGAGCTACATACGAATGTGGACCTTGAATGTTTATCTCTGTGTGCCCAGCACCCAGGGCAAATCCTGGCATGGACAAGGCATTGCATACTTGTTTATTAGAAGGAAAGAAGGAAGACTGGCTTGCCTCCTTCTGTCATGTTGCTGATGCGTACTTGCTGCTTTTACCACACAACAACCATTATTTCATGTTCAGTAACAGCACCTTTATATTCCTTTAGCAGAAATATTCTTCCCCCTTTCCCATTCTCCACCCCCCACACACACACAGATGAGAGAAGGAAAATAATCAGGTTAGGCCAACCAGATGTTCTTTCCCCAGAATGTGAGCCTCAAGTATTATAGTAGTGACTTCTGGATTTGTACACTGCACAACCTGTGCTGCTGTGCATGACAGCCCTGGGACCAACAGTCCATAACGTAAGAGCTCAATAAATGGTAGCCACAACTATTGCTACTGTTATAACTCCAGGGTCTTTGGGGAGAAAGAAGATGTCACTCACCGGTCATCCATCCCATAGCCCTTTGGATGCACACTGGCGGAGACAGCCACCACCAGCGCCGGGAGTCCGTAGCTAAAGGCACAGAGGTACAGCAACTTGACATTGCGAGAGCTGAAGTAATTCACCACCTTCAGGTTCCTGACCATCAGGAAAAGCATCACAGCCTCCACCAGCATCCAAAAGAAGCAGGCCAGGAACAGGTAGTGCAGAGCACCCGCAACGATGGTGCAGCCCGTCTGGGGAGGAGAGGCACGTCAGGAACGCCCGCCCAGAGAGCAGCTGGAGGGGAAGGGGGCAGGGGAGGGACTGCTTTGTTGGGGTTCCCCAACACTGGCCCGTTCACCCGCCTCACAGACATTCACAGACACACAGTGGTTCCCAAGCAGGGGCAGCGCCACCCTGGCAGGGGGACCCATGGTCCTGGTCTGTCTGGAAGTGAGGTTTCCCAGGACATGTGATTTTCAGTGCTAACCTGGAAGAGTGTTGGGAAAACTGATAGTCGATCACCCTACTTTGGGGAGTGTTTGAAGATGTGGGGGTTCAGCAAACTGCAGCCCATGGGTTGGCTGCCTGTTTTGTAAATAAAGTTTTATTGGCACAGTGCCACATCCGTGTGTGTGTGTGTGTGTGTGTGTGTGTGTGTGTGTGTGTGTGTGTGATATACAGCTGCTTTCACGCTACAGCAGCAGGGCTGAGTCGTCATGACAGAGACTGTGTGATCTGCAAAGTTGAAAATATTGAGTATCTAGCTCTTTACAAAAGATGTTTGCCCGCCTCTAGCCAAATGATGGGGGATGAGGGTCCCTACTGGCATTTGGTTTTCAAGAGGTCAGAGAAGCTGAGCATCCCACAGTGAGAGGGGCACTTCTGCACCAAGAATGATGGTCTCATCCCAAATGTGAACAGTACTCCTTTTGGGAAACCCTGAGAGCCTACTATGGGCATAGGGCGTGAACTGGCGAACGTTCTTGCCCTCATGGGGCTCACAGCCGAGTGGAGGAGGTAGAAATAAAGAAATAAATCCATGAATAATCAATATGGCTTCACATAAGAGCTGGGGGGGAAGATAGAGTGATGGAATGGAGTAGCTTCTTACTGTAGTGTTATTGACATTTGTAACACTGTTGCTGGAGCATTCTCTGTCGTGGGACACTGTCCTGTGCATTATAGGACGTTTAGCATCATCCCTGACCTCTACCCACTAGGTGCCACTGGCACCCTCCCTCCGGTTGTGACAACCAAAAATGTCTCCAGATATTGCCCCTCAGGGGCAAAATCACCCTGGGGTGACAGCCACTGGTTTAGAAAGTAATCAGAAGGACAACCACAACTCCATAACATGATCGGGAAAGTGATTTTAAACTGAGGAGCTGGGGGGAGAGTGTTACAGGCAGAGGGCATAGCACGTGCAAAGGCCCTGAGGTCGGAACAAGCATCGAGGGAATTGAGCAGGGACGAGCTGAGGCAGATGGGGAGATGATGGGGACACAGCCCAAGGGATGCGCACCTGGTTGTCAGTCTTGTCTATACCAATGAGGAAGAGAATGTCGGCCAGGAAGAGGCACACGCAGAGGTTCAGGTGGAGGTAGGTGTTACGATTTTGAATGGAGCGACACAGCAGAAAGGTGGCAATGGCCAAGATGAGGCACACCAGGGAGGTGATCATGCCCACGTGGCTGATGATATACAAGGAAAACTCCATCTGTTGGGAAGAAATGCCGCTGTTGGCCTAAGAAGGGGATCCAAGTCCTCCCCAGGCAGGAAAAAAAAATTATCAAGACCCCAGGCTTGGGCAGAAAGGACTCAGAGCCTTTTCTTCCTTGGACACTCAGAGTGAGCTAGGTCCATCATCACCTTTTGCCATCCATTGCAATCCACGCATTCCCAGCCCTGTCCTGTGCTCTGCCCCGTGTATTCCTGGGGCTGGATGTCCACGAACTACATCTCCCAGAATCCTTTGGAACTAATGTCGTGGGTGTAATTCGGGTTCCCCAATGAGATGTGTCTGTGAGAGGTTTGGAAGGCAGAATGGAAGCCAGTACCAGCTTTCTTCAGACAGAAGTCAGCTGTGGCTAGATTTGATATTCCAACTGTTCAGTCCCCAACTTTATGAGGGTGGGGGGCTACATGACAGGAGAAATTTCTGACCACTGGATTATAGCTGCAGAGGGTGAGTGTCACCTTGAAGGCAAAATCCAGGTGGCAGCTCCCTGACTTCAACTCCTCCATCTGCTTCCAGCGATGTAAGAACAACCAAATCCCCGCCGTAAAACCCCTTCCGGGTGAAAAAACCGGAAGGGGTTCCGCCTCCCGCAACGAAACCCGAAAACCAAACAATCAAGAAAAACTGGAACTCCGGGAAGGGAAAATGGCGAGTTCAGTCCTGCCCCTGTGCCATTCATTCATAACTCGTTTTTAAATTAATGTTACAGTTATTTGAGTTTTTCCTCTGTGTTAAAGATATGCCAGGCACCACCTCATGAGCTCCTTTTCATAACACTGTCAATAAAGTGGTTAAGAAAACTGACTACAGTTCTGCCGGTTTCAAGCTGTGTCAGTTTGGACGAGACACTCAACTGGTCTGTGCCTCAGTTTCCTTATCTGTTAAAATGGGAATGTTCATAGTAACTGCTTTAGAGGGTTGTTTTAGGAAGATTAAACAAACATAATTAAAAGTACAACTATGCCCAAAACATACTACACACTACATAAGCGTTAGGCGTCATCGTTGTTTTTATCTTTCTTGTTCTCATTTCTGAGGTGAGAGAGCTGGGCTCAGCTCAGAGAGGTTGAGTGACGGGTCCAAGAAAACACAGCTAGGAAGGGCTAGAGATGGGATTTGAAAGTAGATCAGTCTTTCTCTGGATCTTGTTGTCTTAAATGCTAAGCCACATGGTCCCCTAAGCAGCATTTAAGACATCCCTGGAACTGGGAACAGAGAATCGAGCCTCTGATCTAGCGGGACAGGCAAAGGTACCCTCCACGACACCCTGAGGATGTCTTTCCTCTCTACCAAATCTACCCATTCACCCAGGATCACTTCATATCCCACGTCCTTCCTCACCTACCATCAGCTCTCCCTGAAACATCTCTGAATTCCTACAGCACAAGCTCTTGCTCCATTTGTATGGTTTGGTGGGAAGAGACCTCTGGAGTCAGACTTCCCTGGGTTTGAACACCACCTCCACCCCTTCCTAGCTTCATGACTGGGCAGACTAAGGAACCTCAGTCTCCCATTCTGTGAAATGGGTCCAAAAATATTCCACTTAAAATAAAGAGTCCAGCACACTGCAAGTGCTCATTAAATGAGATCTGTGATTGCTGTGGTGCCCACACCTGTTTAAGGTCCTCATTTCTTATTTTATACTTGAGTATCATGGCTTCCCCACCAGTCTGCAAATTCTGCCAGGGCAAAGGCATGGCACACACCCCTTCCGTCCCTAGGACTCCCTGCCACAACATCCGCCACCTCGGGGGACACACAACTGATGTTTAGTCAACATTTCCCCTTTGGATTTGGGGCCAGGTACTCAGGGAGCCAGAGAAGAGACCGTCTGTACTGACCGTGACCTCTCCGGAAGCCATGATGACGGCGAGATTCACCATCTGATTACAACCGCAGGTGGTGTGCGTCTTGGAAGCTTCCTGGACCACACAGCCAGAGGTTGTCCAACCCCCGCCCTTCGCATCTGTCCTCCAGGAAACGCAGATGGGACTCTCTAACTCCTGCTTTGGCTGAAAAACAAAGGCCATGGTCACCTGAGAATCCCCCTCCAATGGAGTCGATGTGGCCAACCTCAAGAGAAATGTGGGGCAGGAAGACGGGGGAAGGGAGTAAAATGGCGATATTTCAAAATGCAGCGATGAAATGAAACGTCTTAGAGGCCAGACGTGTTTCCACCACTGGCTTGAACGTAGTTCATGGAAACAAACTACCCAGAAAGGTTCCTGCATGGATGTGACTTCACCCATCCTAAATATCCCACCGGTTGCTGAATGGAAGAGCCCCACAGGGAAACAGGACAGCTCGTCCCTCTGGAGCTGGCTTTGGGAATTGGCAGGAGGTGCTAGGAATGACGGAAGCTGCTGCCCTATGGGTGCCCCATCGAAAACAAAAGTTAAGGCCACCGAGAGTCGGGGAGTTCGTGATAGGTCGACAGGAGTCTCAATAGAGAGCTTCACAAACCCGGATGTTCTCCAGAGTGTAGATGACTGGGTCTGAGAAGTTCTCTTTCTTCCCCCCAGTCATGATGCCCCCAACAATGCGAGAATTGATCTTCAGTTTTGTCTTGGAGTTGGCCAAGGAGGTCTGGAGGTCTTGGAAGAAACGTTCATCTAAAGCAGACTCCATGCCCACAAAGGAGACAAAAGCCACTCCCACGGTCCCTGAAGATTTCCCACAATGGAAAAAGAAAGGGGCGATCGTTTGGTGAATAGTTATTATAGATGACCCAACACACGCACACACACGCATGCACACACATGCACGAACACACACACAAAGACACACTTTAATATCCCACGCACCTCACTGGGCTGCTCTCAGGGTTGAAATTCCAGTGAATTTCCTTCCCACAACCATAAAAAACATTGTATTGCGAGATTATTTAATTAATGCTTCCCGGCCGGGCCTGGTGGCTCACGCCTGTAATCCTAGCTCTCTGGGAGGCCGAGGCGGGAGGATTGTTTGAGGTCAGGAGTTCGAGACCAACCTGAGCAAGAGCGAGACCCTGTCTCTACTGAAAATAGAAAGAAATTAGCTGGACAACTAAAAATATATAGAAAAAATTAGCCAGGCATGGTGGCGCATGCCTGTAGTCCCAGCTACTCAGGAGGCTGAGGCAGAAGGATTACTGGAGCCCAGGAGTTTGAGGTTGCTGCGAGCTAGGCTGACGCCACGGCACTCTAGCCTGGGAAACAGAGTGAGACTCTGTCTCAAAAAAAAAGAAAAAGAAAAAAAAATAATTAATGCTCCCCTGGCAGGTAGAAAACCCTCTGAGGGCATGGGCCACTTCTGCCTCCGCTCTCATTGATTCTCAGCCCCCTGGGACTGGTCCTGGCATCTAGAAGGTAAATATTTGCTGAGGGAATGCACCCTAGCCTGGATTCTAGGAAGTGGGGTCAGTACCTGTGGATGAGGATTCTTTAATGGTGGAGCACCCAATCTTCATCTCATCTCCTTTGGCTTTCAGGTTAAACACTATATTCTGTTCAGTGCATTCTTCATTGATAACTTTGCTCTCAATGTCTAAAAAGAGAAAGGGAGACTTTGTATGAGGTCACCCAGAAAGCGGGTCCCGAATTTAGTGTCTGTCCAGGCAAGGTATACAGACACGTTTGCAAGCAAAGGAAAGAACAGAAAGGTCTCACGTCGTAGCGGGTGCAGCAGGGAGACAGGAGGTTGAAGTCAACAGTGATCAAAAAAGCAACAGAGTCATGATCTTCTGGCTACTCCAAACTTAGATAAGTTTTCCAAAGCCAGAGGAAACAGGAAGGGCTGGGACAAGCGTAGCACAGTGGACAAGGGCTCAGGTTGTGCAGTCCCATGGTGGTAACTAGGACGCCCAGCCCCGCCACTCACCAGCTGTGCAAATTTGAGCAGTGACTTAACCTCTCTGAGCCTCCCATCTCTCATCTGTAACGTGGCAGTAGTTGCAAGACCTATCCCATTGACTCTTCATGAAAATAAAACAGATAATGGAACCAAAAGTGTCTTCTCAGACTATAAATTAAATAATGTCATGCCTATTTCCAAATTCTCCAATGCTCCCCATCTTACTTCAAATATAACCCTAAGTCCCTACATTTATCTGCAAAATCTTCCTCCTCCTTTCTTTTCTGACCCCTTCTCTGACTGTGCTCACCATCCTCTATGCCTGCAGTCCCCAAACCCCGGGCCACAGACGAATACCAGTCCGTGGCCTGTTAGGAACCGGGCTGCACAGCAGGAGGTGAGACGCAGGTCAGTGTGCGAAGCTTCATCTGCATTTACAGCCGCTCCCCATCGCTCGCATCACCGCATAAGCTCCGCCTCCCGTCAGATCAGCAGAGGCATTAGATTCTCATAGACGCAAGAACCCTACTGTAAACTGTGCATGCGAGGGATCTAGGTTGCGGCTCCTTACGAGAATCTAATGCCTGATGATCCGAGGTGGAGCTGAGGCGGTGATGCTAGTGCTGGGGAGCGGCTGCAAATACAGATTGTCATTAGCAGAGAGGTTTGACTGCACAACAAATGTCATGCACTTGAATCATCCCAAAACCATCCCTCCCCTCCACCCTGTGCATGGAAAAATTGTCTTCCCTGAAACTGATCCCTGGTGCCAAAAAGGCTGGGGACCGCTGCCCTGTGCCACTTCAGCCACACTGGCCACCTCATTGTTCCTTGAACTCACCAAGTATTTCTACGCTTGTTCTTTCTCCTGATAGTTACACAGCTCCCTTCCCTGAGGTCCCTGCCCCAGTGAGACCTCCCCTGACCACACTATATAATTAGCAACTCCCCCGCTAGTTCCTGACCCTCTCTAACCTCCCCAGCCTGCTGTATTTTCCTCAATAGAGCTATCTCTATCTATTATACCAGATGTCTGTTTATTGTCTGACTCGACTCACTAAAATATAAGATTTGTGGCTGGGTGACGTGGCTCACGCCTGTAATCCTAGCACTCTGGGAGGCTGAGGCGGGAGGATTGCTTCAGGTCAGGAGTTCAAGACCAGCCTGGGCAAGAGCAAGACCCCGTCTCTACCAAAAAATAGAAAAATTAGCCAGGCGTGGTAGCGCACCCCTATAGTCCCAGCTACTTGGGAGGTTGAGGCAGGAGGATTCTCTTGAGCCCGGGAGTTGGAGGCTGCAGTGAGCTATGATGACACCACTGCATTCCAGCCTAGGTGACAGAGCGAGACTCTGTTTCAAAAAAAAAAATCGTGAGGCCAGTTGTGTTCACTACTAGTGGGAGTCCACCAAATACTCTAACTCTACCTCTTGGTCTCCTGGGCACCCATTAGGATGGAATTTCCTAGGTTTATGTGAGTGATACAGGAGCTACTACCAGGAGTGGAGTGTCTGTAGAAGATCCACAGCACCCAGTATTCCCAAGTGGCCACCCATCAAGTATGTATCAGTCAGGAAAGGATTAGTCGTGCTGCAGTAACAAACAACCCCCAGTCTTAGTGGATTAGAAAATAACAAGGACGTGTTGCTCCTTAATGCTTTGTGTTTGCCATTGATTGACCTGGGGCCACGCTCTGTGTTTTCCTTACTCTGGGACCCAGGCAGTTGGAGCTGCTGTGACCTGAAACACTTCCAGTCACTATGTCGGAGGGAAAGAAAGTTCTGGAACATCTCACACCAGCAACTATTCTCTTCCCCAATCCATTGGCCTGAACTAGTCACAAAATCCCAGTTAATCCCAGAGAGCCAGGAAGTACAGTCCTACCACGTTCCCAGCAGGGAGAGCTGGAAATATTTGAACACAGCAAATAACCATCGTACCTTAGCCTAGCACAAATATTGGCTGCATAAATTAGTGACATGCTCTTGGCACCGTGCCTGGCCCTTGCCAAGCACTCGACAAACGGGAAATGTTATTATGATTACACTTGCTTTGCTGGGAGATCAGGGTTTTGAAACAGCTGGAGGAAATGTGGGTGGGAGAGTCACGGAAAATCCCTTTGGCAGAGTCACTGCTCACAGTCAGACTTGCCATGAGTGGTTTATCCTACCCAGGTTTTCCGTCCGAATAGTCTGACTGACGTTCGCCGAGGGGTCCAGGAGAGCTGCCAATGTGGTGCTTTCCACACTCTCCAGGACGACCGTGGCCAGGGCGGTCGTCTTTTCCTTGGCGGATTTGGACAATGTGGACATTTGTTCAAGCACAGGGGTGAGGCTCTTAGCCGTACTCTGCAAGGAAAGATGTGTTTGTTCATGTTCTCCCTCTCCTCTCTCTCTCTCTCTCTCTCTGTATCTCTCTCTCCTCACACACACACACATACACTCACACTAATGAAATAACAGCCGTCCTTTCACTCTTTAGAAGACACAGCTGGGAGTAGAGACCAAGGGCAAATTGAAAAGACCAATCTCTCAGGCCCCTCTTCCCAATTCAAGATGCTCCACTGGGAATACAAGTTGGTATTGCCTTTATGGAATTCAGTAATTTAGCACCTGTGACAACATAAACTGCACATACTCTTGGACCTAGCGATTTCCCTTCCAGGAATTAATCCTTCCAGAAATACTTAAAGTTTGTGCAAGGATCTCGTCCACTGACGTTCATGTTGGGATGGTTTGTGGAAAGCCTAAATGCCCACTAGATAGGCTAAATAAATGAAGAGGAAGCAATCAAATCATGGGATAGTATGCACCTGTTAAAAAGAATGTCATTGATCAAATTGGTATTAACTGATCGATACTTAAGTGCACATGCAGTAGTAACAATCACTGGGTATTGAGCAGGTGGGAGGGGGAGGAGGGAATAGGTCTATTCACACCTAATGGCTGTGGTGTGCACTGTCTGGGGGATGGACGTGCTTGAAGATCTGACTCAGGTGAGGCAAAGGCAATATACGTAATCTGAACATTTGTAACCCCGTAATATGCTGAAATAAAAAAATTAAAATAAAAATCAGCTGGG